CCAGGGAGGGGGGGGTGGCGTTGGGCGGAGACGCCGCCTTTCCCCCCCGCCCGGGGAAAAAAAAAAAAAACCCCTTAAAAAAAAAAAAAAAAAAAAAAAAAAAAAAAAAATTAAGTTCAGGGTCACTTGGGAAGCAGGTAGCAGCCGCAGTGCTTTTCCCAGGCCAATTTACCCCTTCTATCAGGGATGTAGCGCTTATTCCTTAAGCAATATTCTTCCCATCCTCTAGACTTTCTCACACCTATCACTCAGGTCTTAAAATGACTTCCTACCAAAGAAGGAAATATGAAAGGGAAAGGAGCACAGTGAGCCTCTTCTGCCCAGATCACCTAAAATAAGATGCTAAAGCTGAGGGCCTCCCCTCATTTTTCAGAATAACTAAGGTCTTGGGGAAGTAGGTGATATGCCCGAGGTCACACAATGGCACTCTGCCGAGACGCCTGGTATTCAGACATCAGTTTAGGGATCTCGATGGTTTTATACAAGTAATACCCTGATTGCATGCAGGAACCAGACATGAGAAGCGGACTGACCTGAGCTCAACTCTGGTCAGGCTTGACCCAAATTCCCTTCTTCCTGGCTGATCTCGGAGACTGAGGACTGGCTCCGGACCTCAGGACCTCCTGAATCTTAGGCCTAGTAGGTCTTCTGCTCATTCTTGGTCACAGAACCCCTGGATCCCGGGATTCACTAGATGCTTAGCATCTGCATAGTTTTGTCCCAGCCGCCACCCAGCGAGTCCCACTGCTCTTCAGGTTTCAATGTGATACCCTGCCCAAAGCATTTGCCTTCAATTGTTTCCTATTTCCAACCTCTCTCCCCACCCCAAACCCCAGACATTCCAAATCATTCTGCATGCAAACCACTTTAAATCACACTCCTAGTAAAAACTTCAAAGCTCTTCGTCACATCTGATGAATACAAGCTCTTTAACCTGGGCTTCTCAAGCCTCTAGTATCTAGCCTGAACCTACCAATTCACATACATCTCTAGCTGGGCATGGTGGCTCATGCCTGTAATCTCAGAGCTTTGGGAGGCTGAGGCAGAAGGATCCCTTGAGCCCAGGAGTTCCAGACCAGCCTAGGCAACATAGCTGGATCCCATTTCTACAAAAAAATACAAAATTAGCCAGCTATGGTGGCACATGCCTATAGTGCCAGCTACTGGGGAGGTTAGGCAGAAGAATTTATTTTTGAGCGCAGCAGGTCAAGTCAGTAGTGAGCTGTGATAGCGCCACTGCACTCCAGTCTGAGTGAGACCCCATCTCAAACAAAAAACAAAAAACCAAACATCACACCCACTCCCTGCTCAAACCACAGGATTCCCACCCACTGCCTTTGCTCAAGCCACATCTCCATGGTTCACCCCACAGCACAGTGATTTCTCTTTCCCTCTCAACTAGCACACCCTCATTAAATATATATACATATTTCTTTGTGTTATCTTTTCATGTGTTTTCCTGTTTCTCTAGACCATGAGCACCTTGGAAAGCTAAACCTTCCCTCTTACTATCTTTTCTGTAAGTTCCAATGCTTTAAATACAGGCTCTTCCAAAACTGCACTGTCAGTGAGAGGGAAGTGGATTTTTTTTTTTTTTTTTTTTTTTCCTTTTTTTTTAGAGGGAGTTTCACTCATGTTACCCAGGCTGGAGTGCAATGGCGCGATCTTGGCTCACCGCAACCTCCGCCTCCCGGGTTCAGGCAATTCTCCTGCCTCAGCCTCCTGAGTAGCTGGGATTACAGACACGCACCACTATGCCCAGCTAATGTTTTGTATTTTTAGTAGAGACGGGGTTTCACCATGTTGACCAGGATGGTCTCGATCTCTTGATCTCGTGATCCACCCGCCTCGGCCTCCCAAAGTGCTGGGATTACAGGCTTGAGCCACTGCGCCCGGCCCGGATTTTTTTTTTTTAAAGATGGATTCTGGTTCTGTCACTCAGGCTGGAGTACAATGGTGCAATCTTGGCTCACCATAATCTCCACCTCTCAGGTTCAAGTAATTCTCCTGTCTCAGCCTCCAGAGTAGCTGGGACTACAGGCATGTGCCAACATGCCTGGCTAATTTTGTATTTTTAGTAGAGACGGGGTTTCTCCATGTTGGTCAGGCTGGTCTCGAACTCCTGACCTCAGGTGATCCTCCTGCCTCGGCCTCCCAAAGTGCTGGGATTACAGGCGTGAGCCATCACTGCCCGGCCAGGAAGTGGATTTTAAAAGTTAAGGAACAATGTGGTCTGAACAAATACTTTTCAAAATCCATACATGAAAGAGTCTCAGAATAAAGATGTTACCAATTGCTACCTAGGTGGAAATAACAAATATTATGAGAAGACACGAGGCTGAATACAGGGAGGAGTATTCTGGCTGTGTTAAATATACAACTAGACTGCTTAATTATTACAGGATAAGCCTCATTTTAAGCCAAAGGTAAGGAATTCTCATTGTATCATGGGCAAGTGAAAATGATTCACGTATAGAAAATGTTCACTTGATTCAAAATGACAAACTAGACATTGAGGCAATGTAGCAGGGATCATTAGTCATGTCATTCACCCGGCAAAAATGTAAGCCACTGGCAAGTTTACAAAATGCTTTCAAGATAGTATCATATACCAAACGCAATAAAATAATGCCATAGACAAATAGTTGTTAAGTTGAGGAAGGCCTTCAAAAGATCTCTTCTTTCCACTTTCTGTTTCCTGTTTACCAAATACCTAAGTTCTCTCCAGGTTTCTAACCTTTTCTCTCCTACTTCTCTTTCACACTTCCTGTTAGGGGAGCATAGGATAGTGGAAAGAGGACTGACCTGAAAGACAGATGACCTGGCTGCAAATCTCAGTCCCATCACTTAGAAGCTGTGTGGTGAGCTTGGGCACAAAGTGGAGGAAGGCCTTGAGCAGAGCCTAGAAGGAGAATGAGTAGTTCTGCCAGGCAACAAGTGAGAACGACATTCCAGGCAAAGAGAACAGCATATGCAAAGGTGTGGCAGTGTGAAGGAGGGACCAGGACAACAGGCCCAGAGCAAGAGGGTGTGTGAGGAAGTGGAGGACAGGCTGAGAAAGGGAGCAAACTGACGAGAGGCACTAAACTTATTTCCTTTTTATTTTTTGAAATTTATTTTATTGCCCGTAATCCCAGCACTGTGGGAGGCCGAGGCGGGTGGATCACGAGGTCAAGAGATCGAGACCATTCTGGTCAACATGGTGAAACCCCGTCTCTACTAAAAATACAAAAAATTAGCTGGGCATGGTGGTGCGTGCCTGTAATCCCAGCTACTCAGGAGGCTGAGGCAGGAGAATTGCCTGAACCCAGGAGGCAGAGGTTGTGGTGAGCCGAGATTGCGCCATTGCACTCTAGCCTGGGTAACAAGACTGAAACTCCGTCTCAAAAAAAAAAAAAAAAAAAAAAAAAAATTTATTTTATTTATTTATTTTTTAAGACAAGGTCTCACTCTGTCACCCAGGCTGTAGTGCAGTAGTGCAATCAGGCAGCTCACAGCAGCAGTGAACTCCCAGGTCCAGGTGATCCTCCCACTTCAGCCTCCCGAGACACTAGGACCACGGGTGCACACCACCACACCCGGCTAATTTTGTATTTTTTGTAGAGACAGGGTTTCGCCGTGTTGCCCAAGCTGTTATTTCCTTTTAGGTAACAATCCTTATATAGTAGCACTTATCTTGTGCTAGGTACTATTTTAAGTACTTTACCAGTAGTAATTACTCAATTTTAATTCTTGGAACACTATGTGGGAAGAATTATTATGATCACCATTTTACAGATAGGGAACAGAGGCATGTGAGCAGATTAAGGAACTTGTCTAAGGTTGCAAAGCTGATTAGAGGCAGAGCCAGGAATCAAACTCTGAGGCCTATGCTTTTGTTTCTAGGGTATGCTGCCTCAGCGACCCCAATAAGGAAACTGAACCTTGAGCTAAGACTTGCTCAACTTACATGAGAACTTCAATGTGAGGTTCAAATAAGCAACTGCAGCCCTTACTGGTCATTATTAAGTTAAAGGGTGTGCCCGTCTATTCTCCCTATTCTCTCATTACCTACCTGTCCCTGTCCTATTCTGCCTCTTTCAGAATAGATAACGGCTTTACTGAGTTTTTAAGCATGCTATGATCCTGTCTGAGCTTCCATTTCCCCCCTTAAAGATGAAGCCAATTACAAAACCTAGGTCCAAAGTAGCCCTTGATCATTGCTAGGAGATATTCTCTGCCTGGTCCATGTGGGCACCCAGTAAATCACAGTGCTGGGCATGGTGGTTCACATCTATAATCCTAGCACTTTGGGAGGCTGAGGCAGGACGATCCTTTGAGCCCAGAACTTTGAGACCAGCCTGGGCAACCAATGTAGGGAGACCCTGTCTCGCCCCATCACCCAGGCTGGGGTGCAGTGGCTGGATCTCAGGCAATCTCCACCTCCCAGGTTCGAGCAATTATCCTGCCTCAGTCTCCCAAGTAGCTGGGATTACAAGTACATGCCACTGCGGCCAGATTTTTCTACTTTTAGTAGAAACGGGTTTTCGCCATGTTAGCCAGCCTAGTCTTGAACTCCTGACCTCAGGGATCCACCCGCCTCAGCCTCCCAAAGTGCTGGGATTACGGGAATGAGCCACCACACTCGGCTAACCGTCTCTATTTAAAAAAATAAATAAATAAAAGAGGCAGGGTCTCACTCTGTCACCCAGGCTTCATGCAGTGACAGGAACATAGCTCACTGCAGCCTCAAACTCCTGAGCTCAAGTGATCCTCCTGTCTCAGCCTCCCAAGTAGCCAGGACTACAGGTGTGCCCAACCATGCCTAATTATTTTATAATATCTTTTTTTTTTTTTGAGACAGAGTCTCACACTTGTCGCCCAGGCTGGAGCGCAGTGCCGCAATCTCGGCTCACTGCAATCTCTGCCTCCTGGATTCAAGCAATTCTCCTGCCTTAGCCTCCCAAGTAGCTGGGACTACAGGCACCTATCACCACGCCTGGCTAATCTTCATATTTTTAGTAGAGAAAGGGTTTGTCCATGTTGCCCAGACTGGTCTCAAACTCCTGGCCTCAAGTGATCTGGCTGCCTTGCCTACATCTGACCTTAATAAAGTGCTGGGATTATAGGTGTGAGCCACTGTGCTTGGCCTATTTTGTAATATCTCTTGAATGAATAAATGAGTCTCTGTTATATCAAATGAGGTGGTATTCAGTTAAAGCATTTGGCATGGTACCTAGCACA